ATATATACAATCTGAATGTGAACTTTCATGTGTCTTCATTGTTCTACACGACTTGGAAAAAAATCCACCCAAAGGGAATTGGGAAAATTTGGAAAGTCATAATGAATTACAGACACCCCTAACACCCAGTTTGTGAGTGGATTTTTGTTTCAAAATATGTAGTTATGCAGTATCCCACTCTTGACGCCAATGATCCATTTTCTCAAAAGGAGTGGTAGCACAGCATTGATTTATTGTTAGTGTAAATAATAATTTGCCTTCAGTTCCTTATACCTTTCTCTGTAACACAACTTATCTTCTCTAGTTTGAAGTGTAAGCTATAATATTTTTATTGGTGTGATATTCTCAGATAAAATGACAGTGTAGTGTTGCTTTTCGGCATGCCCTTATAATTTGAAGAAACCATTAGATTTTAATGACATATAATTTAAAATGCCTGTAGGAGTGATTTGAATTTACTGAGATATTTTTAAGAGTAATTACTTACTAGGGGTTGTGGAAGCACTTGTACAGAATCATCCTTCCTCAGGTCAGATATCTGCAACTACTTGAAATGAATTAACACTTCTACCATTAATGTTTGATGAGAGACCATAGCGAAAAAGATGAATGCTTGTATAATTGACATCTGTAACATTTAGAACTGAATACCTAAATGCCAGAGACATAACTCTGAATAAAATGTCAGGACCTAACTCAGTAAGAATTAATGATGTAATATCATAGGAATGACTGGGAGTCAGTGTACATTATTACTAGAATTATTTTGCAAATGTTTAGTTGTTCGTATACACCATTAAGAACTTCTGTTCATATTATTGTTATTGAGAACAACTTTTCTCAAATTTTTAACTTTTATTCATCCAGAGATTCCAAATATCCTGCGAATTCAAGTTATAAAGTACATTGATGGAAATATAAACAATAAATGTGTTTGTTTAACTAAATAGTCCAACCTATGCTATTATACTTAATAAAGTACCATAGTATGCTTGATTCTGATATGTTTTGTCATTGTCAACCATCATTTGTGAGTATATTTTATTTTTGTTAACATTAACTTACAAAAATAAAGCTAATAGATGTATATATATGAATAGCAAGAAAAACGGATATTGCAGAAACATTTAAAACTAAGAGGATTTTATTATTAATTACCATTGTTAAACAGAATTTCATTATTAATTAGCATAACTGAATGATAAATAACTGCTTTGATCTTATATGTACCAATTGGTTAAAAGATTTTTATTAATAAATCTATGAAAATAAGTATTCATAGTTTTAAGAATAAACAACTTCAGAACTTAATCAGTGATAAAGTAGTTCTGTGGGGATTCTGCAGCAGAACTTTTTTGAAAAACCATCTGTTATGAAATCTGCATTTATGATGTGCTCAGAGTGACAAGAATCTTGATGCAGCTAATGTGCCTATTACTCATTTTGCAAAGACCTAAAAATTCTGTCACCATAATTTTAATCATTCTATAGAAACAAAAAGTAAGCAATGGCATGATTCAAGTATACATTTAACCATCACCAAAAATGCAGGGAAGCTTGTTGAGGTAGATTTCTGAATGAAGTAATGAATCATCTCTTTATTTCTGATAATAAAAGAGCAGTTTGTCAATGTTCAACCTGAAAGTCTGAAAACATAGTGATATATTTGGGCAGTGTAAGATATCACTAGGCACTGAGTAGTTCTAAGCATACTTATCTTTTCTGGCATAAATTTGCCATAAAACTGTTCACTAATCTAAGAGCCAATAGTATTTCCATGCACAGCATTGTTTTTGTATATTTTATTGTAATGATTCTGGGGACTTCTGACAAACTTACAAGAATTCTCAGCTGTCAAGACCACTGTCATGAAAATTCTTTTCACCCACATCTTCTTGTAAATGAATAGTGGAGTTTTCTTGAGGGTATCAGAGGGAACATAGGATAACATGTACAAATTTCATGCCTTCATGTAGACAACTAAAAGGAGACTTGCTGAAATATAAAATAATGTAGTTCTTTTAGTATTATTTGTTTTAATGTTTTACTATAACCAAGTATGCAAAATGCATAAAGTGGTTGTTTTAGTAACATATTCTAATGGCTTATCATTGTCAATTTAAGTGAATAAAAAATAGCATTTACTGTTTTCAATATTAATTTTTAATGTACATTTTAACATGTTTAAATAAAAATTCCTTGCAAAGTCAATACTGCTTAAGAATAGAGAATTTCTGAGAGCTAATAATTTGAGAACTCTCTGCATCATTGGGAATTTAGCAGGTCCCCTCCGTTAGGACCTGCAAATATTTCCTGATTAAAGGACAAATGGTAACTAAAGTTACTAAAACCTTTATATTTCTAGGACAGTCCTACCTTGTAAATGACTTCTATAATTCATGATAAATTCTATATTGTAGCCCAATGATAGAAAATTACTCAAGTATTACTGCTCAGAGATAGCTACTGATGTCCCCCAAGTACTCAAATCTTGAAGACCTAAAGCCTCCTGTGACTGTATATGGAGATGCAACTTATTTAAGAGTTAAATTAGATTAATTGTAGGCCTAAGAATAGAGCTTTGATCTGAAAAGATTAGTGTCTATTTAAAAACAGAATGAAAACTCTCTTGAAAAAAACTATCATGAATTTTCTAGCCTCTAGAATTGATAGAAAATAAATGTTTCGTCTTTACATCACATACCCAGACTACAGTGTTTTGTTATGGCAGGATTTTGTTATGGAAGCCTCAATAGACTGGCTGATACTTCATCATTTCCTTTCCCAGTGACAATACAGGAACTATTAGGTTACTCTTTTCTCCCCTTTATTGTAATTAAAATTACAGCAAGAGAGATTTCTGTTCACTGTATATACACAACACATACTACACATTTGTTGAACAAGGTCATTAATTTAGTGTTTGAGGATCTCACAAATGATACTTGTTAAAAAATGCATTCACTGTTAATTATTAGTTTTCAGACATCTTAATTTCTTGCCCTCATCCAGTCCGGTGTATTGTTGTTTTGAAAGATATATTAGCTCATTTTGCTTATTGCTATCATTGACTTGTTATCCATATGTCAAAGTTATGTTTTACTCATAAATTAATGTTTTGAATACTTTTAAATGCCTTTCTATATTCTAATTGACTTCAGAAGGCAGAAAAACACTTTCATGCTTGACATTCAAAGCCTTATATTATCTGACTAAAATTTAACTCCCCCCAAAATGCAATTTTTTGGTGACGTTTGA